TGGTCGCCGGTATGCATCGCTTCCTCGCCGTCTTTCCTCTGCATCTCGCAGGACGCCTGGTATACTTGAGTGGAGTGATGGTGACGATTTTATTCCTAATATTCCTCACTTTGACGATAAAGATGTAGGGATTACAAACCTTTTCCCTAATCAAGGTGAGGACATGGCTGAGATGGAATATTTTACAGCATTCTATGATGAACCACTCATGGAATACATTGTACACCAAACGAACCTGCATGCTGCTTACCTGATTGAGAGGGAAATCACAGAATTTTCATGACTGCAGCGTTGGAAAAATACCACAGTGGCGGAAATGTATGTGTTTTTGGCACACTGTTTGTTGATGAAGCACTGTCACAAACATGCAATAAATGACTATTGGAGCAAGGACAAGACAATACCAACACCTTTATTCGGGAAATATATGTCACGAGGCAGGTTTCAGATACTCCTCAGGTGTCTACATTTTGGAAGTGTTCAGGACCGAACACCTGATGATAGACTGTGGCGAGTGAGGCACTACATGAACGATGTTATTGGAAAATTCAGAGATTTTTACGTACCAGCACAGAAGCTGGTGGTTGATGAATCTCTCATACTTTTCAAGGGACGTGTTCCATTCAAACAGTACATTCCCTCAAAACGAAACCGATTTGGCCTGAAATTTTTTGTTCTTTGTGATTGTGAGACAGGATACGTGTTACACATGATTCTGTACTCGGCTAGTGATGTAGACATTCCCGGTAACGACGAACATGGATTCTCGGGGAGTGTAGTGAAGACCATCATGGCTCCGTGGATGAACAAGGGACACATTTTATACACAGATAATTACTATACAAGTCCCTTGCTAGCTCGGTTCTTGCTAGAAAATAGAACCGGATTGGTTGGTACAGTAAAGCCACAACGAAGGGAAATGCCTGTGTTTGACAACGACATTGCAGTTGGTGAGTGTCAGAAGGAAAAGTGATAACATTCTGTCAGTTCGGTGGAAAGACAAGAGAGGTGAACTTGTTGACAACAATTCATGATGGAACAATGGTGAACAGTGGGAAAGTGAGCCATAAAACAAACGCACCACTATATAAGCCAGACTGTGTTTTAGACTATAATATCAACATGCGGTTGATTGATAAATCAGACATGATGATTGGCACTGCAGAGTGTGTGCGGAAGACATGTAGGTGGACGAAAAAAGTGTTCTTCCATCTTGTGGACATGAGCATGCTGAACTGTTTCAACATGTACCTTGTGAGAACTGGACGTAAGCCCACTTTCCGTGTCTTTGTATTTGATGCTGCAATACAGTTATTAGGAAAGTTTGCAAAAGATGTCCCAGGTATTCAGCGGCCCATCATAAACCCACTGTTGCAGCATGCTGGTACTCCACGCCTCGCTCACACTGAAGGCTTCCTAGCACACAAACTTAAGTATTTGCCACCTGGTGTGAAGCGTGCAATAGCCCAACGTGATTGCTTGGTGTGTAAAACAACGACACGTAGAGACAAGAAACGGAAGCTTGTGCAAACATGGTGTGAAACGTGTGGTATCCCATTATGTGCTGTCGACTGCTTCAATGACTACCACAGTCTAGAAATCTTCTAAGTGTGCTTCAAAGTGTGTATAGCGTGTGCGAGTGTGTAAATATGTAAACATATAAGCAGATAGCGTGTGCGTGTGTGTAAATATATACAAATATAAGCAGAACATACAATATAATAGACTGTAATGACATATTATATTGCCGTAATTGAAAACATTTGTGTGCGCCTGTGTATACTCAAATATGCAACAATTATTGATACAAAATATGTTCAAACAGTATTTGAAACACAATTAGTGAAAAAAAATTAGATAAAATGCGCTTAGACATTGTAAATAAATAGCGCGAAAATATATTTGTGGCAACTCTGGCTGTTTGAGGACCGCGCGCAACACCTCCCGGGCGTGTACTGCATGAGCGAACATGCAGATTGTGACGTCATCACAGAGCTTCTCGGCTCTATTGCAACAAAAGTAAGTACAATAGAATTTTTTTTTTTTTTTCCGTGATCATTGAACAGAACTTAACAGATTAGCAAAAAAAAAAAAATTTTTTTTTTTTCAAAATGACATGCGCCTGTGCGGATGGCAGGATATTAGACCCCGAGCATGTTAAGGGTTAAACCAGTTTGCAACACCTTGCCTGGGCTTCCTGTAGTCGACACCCTACATGCCCTGGAAAACCCTGTCGGGGCTCGGTGGACCTATGGGTTACCTGTACCGCTTTCCCCCCGATCCAGGTGTAGCTTTGGGTTGTGGCTCGGTTGGAGTCCTACCCAGGGAGAGTAGTCCTTGTGGCCCCTTAGTGGCCGGCCCAGCAATGGTTTCAGGCGCTGCTTGCTTGGTGTGTGAACCCTGGGGCATTTCTCTCGGCTCTACCTCTTTCAGTAGGTCAGACCAGTCTGGTATGCTGCTAGTTCGGTCTTCTCCTCTGCTCTTTGTGTCTGGTCTTTTTGACACGGGTTTATCACAATCTGTATGGTGATCAGGTGGCTTTGTTGATGGTGTCCCACCTGAGAGCTTCGTCTCGGTGACAGTATGAAGATTCCTGGCATTCTGTTTACCATTTTCTCTCTTCATAGGTTGTCTTCTATTTTGGATCGGGTTGTCTTTTCCTGTCTTCCTTGGCTTTTTCAGGACCGTCATATGATGCTAAATACTGTCGCCTTGTATCTTGCGGGGCTGGCGGAGCCGCTCCAGCTTACATTCAAGGTGGATGTCTCATCTGTCCTGTTCCTTAAGCTTTCTCGTGCTTTGTTTCACCTCTGGCCTGCTCATGCACCGCCTGAGCCATCCTGATTGTTGAACATGGTGATCTTCTATCTTTCCTTTACTCGGTTTGTGGTGGCCCCTTTGGTTCAGGATTGTTTTTCCAAGGCTCTGTTTTCGTTGGCAGTTGCGTCTGGGGGGTTGGGTTGGGAAACTTCATGCTCTCCTCCAGCGCAGGGGTTTCTGCTCTTTTGGTCCTGGTGGTAAGTTTGTTCATTTACAGCCGTCTCCTTCTTTTTCTGGCAACGAACGAGTTGGCTGCTTTCCAGAGGGGTCCTTGGGTCATTGATGCTTGGTTGATCAGGCCATGAGTGCATCATGTGTTGTCTGGTTGCGGCTCTCCGTTGTTATCTGCGTGCTTCGGCTTCGGTGATTGGGGATGCGCTTTGGGTTGATTTGGTTTCCCTCGTTCCTTGTTCTAGGGCTTGTGTCTCCCAGGTCGTCTGCAGGGTTAAGTTCAGCCAGTCTGTAGTTTATCCTTGTGCCCATGATGATAGGAAGTTTGCTGCTTTGGCCGCTGTGTTTCATTATATGTCTGGGGCTGATACTCGGGTGCGGGGATTTTGGTGGTCGAGCAGAGTTCTGGCTGCCTGTTATTTGCTGAACATTCCTGCTATTGGGCATTCCTATGTGTCGTTTTGGGGTCGCAGGTTGCAGCCACTTGTCTCGACTTCGCATTGATGAGTTTGTGGCTGCCATCTCCCGGGTAAGTACCTCTTTTCCTTATCTTTGGGTATGTAGCTCCAGGGAGCCGTAGGAGATCCCCACAGTAAACCAGCGTTGCATGTAATAAAGAACCTCCCTCCCTCCCTCCGCTCGGCGGTTTTTCGCATTGTTTTGATACTTGGCTTTCGAACTGAAGACCTGAGTAGCCGACATGGGGGCTGCGCGGATGAGCAGTGTGGCAGTGAAGTATGACGTTTGCTTGTTTCCTTTGGATTGGAGGGAGTTCTGCTTTCCTTTTCGGTGTTTAGTTCTTAGTTTCTTACCATGTGGGGTTTGTTTTGTTATGCCTACCTTTCTGGGTGCCTAACCTTGGTCGATGGCAGATAAGGAAACCCCCAACCACAGTTTTTTTTTTCCAGGGTCATTGCTCCCTGAAACCTCTGTGAAGGGTCCAGGTTTTGGCTTGTTTTCCCTGGTAGTTTGAACTCCATATCTAATGTCCCGGTCTAACATAGCACACATTAGCCCGATAGATCCAAGGAGCCTCCGGGGCTCACCCAGAAAATGACGTTTCATTACATTCAATGCTGGTTTTTTGCCACTTCCTTTCCCTTTGTTTGTTGACTTCTGTGTCGGATTGTGTTGTTTTGGCATTTCTTTCTTGGCTCTTTCAGGACTGACATCTTACGCTGAATACTGTCGCCTTTTATCGTGCGGCATTGCCAGAGCTGCTAGGCTGTAATTCGGGGGGGGGGGGGGGGGATATCACTTCTGCTCCATTTTTAAGTTTTCTCATGCATTTTTCCACCTCTGGCCTGCTCATGAGCCGTCCTGGGCTATGGTCCGGGTGCTTTCTTTTCTCTCTTCACCTCGGGAAGGGGGATGTGGGGGGGGGGGGGGAGCACGAATGAGCGTCGCATCAGGATAATGACAACTTGCTTGTTTCCTCATTTTTCTTAGGGGGAGTGTTTAGTCTCTGTTGTGGTCTCTTATTGCAATTTTCTACCAGTTGGGGGTCTGTTTTGGGGCGCCTACCTTTCTGGGTGCCTAACCACGGTCGATGACGAACATGAATATACTGTGAATGATTGGAGTTTTCATAGGCCATTGCTCTGTGCGCCTCTGAGGGAACCAGGTTCTGGCTCGTGGTTCCTGGTAGACATGCCAACTCCATATGACTTAAGCCCCCCAGATTAATATAGCTAATATCAGCAGTCATTTAGCTCCAGGGAGTCATTCTAACAGTACTGTATAATAATTCCTATCTATTATTCATTATAACATCTATTATTCATTATTAACATCTATTCCTCTCATGCTAGTCTAACCAATCCTTCATTACTCTATTCATCTTTTTGCCTTGACTGACCTTTCTCTTACAGTTGTACAAATTCGTCTATAACAATTCTTATCTCAGGTGTGTTTAATCAGCCACTTCTAGCCCTTCACTATATTATATGTTTTTAACAAAAATTCATATTCCTGCACATGTGAAACAAGTTAGTTCTTAATAATTACAGGACATGTTTGAGCGTGTGTACGTCTCTGCCAGTGGACACGACTCTCACAGACAAGCAGAAACAACGTGCCAAAAGCTTTCCTCCAAAACTTCTCAAATTTATCACTGAGGTAATAGAGTAATACAAAATATTTTAATCTTTGTTCTATGGATTAAGAAGTTTTTGTTTTCCTGAGTAAATTAAAAATATTTTCTGGTGTAATAATTTTATCTATGAATCTATTAGAAAATGTGTTATGATGTATTTACTGGATGGGGCAAGTTGTTACTCCCAGTAGCTAGTTGCACTGAGATTGTTCCATATGTTAGAGCATCCCTTGCTTGTCATAAAAGCCTACCGTAAGAAGCCAAAACCTGGTACTTTTAGACAGGCACAGAAAGTGCAGGATTCATGATATCCTTCAAAGCCAAAGAATTCAACCCCCAGAAATTAAGAGAGGCAAAACAGACAACTGCAAGATCCACAAAAAGTAAACAAACAATGCAGTAAAACGAATCTACAGACTATTCACCCAGTAATTAGGTCACTTAGCATGGGTGCTGCAGTGCTGCCAGCTGCTGCTGTTAATCCTCAGTCATTTACCTGATGTTAGATTAGCTGACTGCTCCATGAGTCACAAACCCTTAGGTCCCAGAAATTTCAAAATGTATGTCGGCTATCTTTTGAACTCTGGCCTGTTGGGACCTATATGCTTGTGTACCATTCCAATCTTTAGTACTGTAGTTGCTTTTCATATGCATGTTTACAAGCCTCACTTGTTGAGTGAAATTTTGGTAACTGTTTACCTGGAGCTGCATGTGCTTAGGGCTACTCTTCCCTAGATACTTACAGGTGCTGCCCCTGCCCTGACAGGGTTACATTCCCGGTAGGTTCAGGTGCTTGTTCTATAGAGATTGGCCTCCAATGGAGAGTGCCTCACTCTGAGTAGTGCAAGGGTGCCTCCTCACTGAGGTTCTGCATTTGGGCGCATTTTAACCACTGCACTGCTCTGAATTAAAAGTTAAAGAAATTTAAACATAAATAAATAAATAAATAAATAAATAAATATTTATTAGGTAAGGTATATACAAGAGATTTTACAAAAATTGATAGATTTATAGATAGAGCTAGTGCATACAATGCCTAAAGCCACTATTACACAAAGCATTTCGGGCAGGAAAGCATTAATGACTAAAACTTAATACTAATTGAGTATGAAGAATAAAATGTGTTGAGAACAAATAAAAATAAAAATAAAAAAGGGGGGAACATGGCTAAAGAAGCAGCACAAACACAATTAGGTCGACAAACAGCGTTGTTTAAAAAAACAGACATGGGTTGACAATAGAGGGGTAAGGTAGGTTACCGGGAATTTATTAGGTATAGCTTCGTTTTTATCTTAAACTGGTTGAGAAAGGTACAGTCTTTAACATGATTGGGAAGGTCATTCCACATTCTGGGTCCCTTGATTTGTAGAGCATTTCTAGTTTAAGTCGTACTCTTGGAATATCAAAACTGTATTTGTTTCTGGTGTGGTGCTCATGGGTTCTGTTACAACCTTCAATGAAGCTTTTGAGGTCAGGATTGGCATTACAGTTCAGCATTTACAATTTGGAAGGAAATGACTACAATAGGTTAGGTAAGGAAATTCAACAGGAGAAACACCTTTTGTCAGCACAGATGGAGGAAGTTACACAGGGAATAGAACAGTGCAAGAAAGATATGGAACTCACCTATGCACAAGTGGCCAAGGAGAAGGAAAAAATTGAAGAAGCAGTAAAGGAAGCCAAACACTGCAGCAACCAAGATAAAACAAACATTAGGCTGGAAGTGAGAGAAGAATTGGCATCTAACCCGAAGTTGGTGCAAAACACAGTTGATCGGAGCAAATCCCTGATAATTTTTGGTTGCAAAGAAAAGGACATAACATCTAGGTCAGAAAGAGCTGTAGAAGAAGTGAAAGTAGTAGATAAAATTGTTGGCCTCGTAGAAGGTCTTGCTGCCATAGAGAATGTGTGCGACTACAGGAGAACAGGCAAATACGTAAAAGGGAAAGATCGACCTTTGAGGATCACCCTAAACGGTGCCAAACAGATGGAAGAAGTACTCAGGAATGCCAGAAAATTAGAAAGTGATGAGGATGGGAAAGTGTGGTCGTTAAGACGAGATGTTTCAAAAGAAGACGGAGAAGCTGAAACTGAACTTCGCCGAGGCAAAAAGTTTAAATGAGAGCAGGAATGAAGAAGAAATCAATTCTTTTTTCTACAAACTGATAGGGGTAGGCAGGCCAGTAAAGTGGTACGTAAAGGCAAACCAACAAAATCAATAGAGAGGGGGAGTGAAGAATAAGGAGAGGAGGAACAAGTTCCTGAAGATTGCATACACCAACATAGATGGAGTGAGATCGAAGATACTGGAGTTAAGTGATGTAATACAGCTACAGACACCAGACATTGTTGCACTCACGGAGACAAAACTTGAAGATGTTATTTTATATGAGGTCATATTCCCAAGGGGCTACTCAATTTGGAGACGGGACAGAAAAATTAGGAAATGCGGTGGCGTTGCTGTGCTGGTGAAAGGACACCTAAAGGTGAAAGAAATAATTACTGCCAATCCACAAGAAGCTGACATAATAGCACTAGAGATCTACCATGAGGATAAACTAATGATCATAAATGCAAATAGTCCACCGCCAAGCAGCACATGGTCGACAGAGGAGCTAGATAGTAAACGCGAAGGTCTTATAACAATAATGAGAGAGATTATAGTAAGAGCGGATAACTATAGATCACGACTGTTGATAGTCGGTGACTTCAACTTGAAATCCATAGACTGGGAAGCATATGAAGCTAAAACAAGATTTTTGGACCAGTAGATTTGTAGACCGGACATCACACTCAAGTCCGGGTCCCTACAAGAAAAACGGGGGCATCCAGGTGAGCAACCAACCTAGCGCATTGTAACAACCTAAAGTGCACATTTAACGCCTGCGCTGCTTGTACCCGCAAAAGATCATCAATAGTTTAGGTAAACTAAGTCACCAGCAAGCAACAAAACTCGCAGGACTCCACATCGAAAGAGTCACCGACCCAACAGGCAGCGTGATGGAGGCAAAAACAGTGAGGGTCACGCTGAGACCAAGTCCAAGGTCCAAGGGGACCAAGCAGCCCGTGAACTCGCATGAAGTGAGGGGGGGAACTTGGGGATCACATCCATCAGACCTGTGTGTCCCCTGGGGGCTTCCCAGGGTCCTGAGATGGAACTCACACTCAGGGAATCCCAGGCAGAGTACTGCTAACCGGCGCCCAAAACTACTGAGCAACTCTCTAAAGCTGAACCGTGTACACTAACAGGGAACTAGCAGGGGATGCTACCATAAATGAATGTATGCAGGCCAGTCACAAAAGGGGGAACAAGCAAGGCGAACCCCCCCCCCCCCCACAAGGCAAAAATAAAAATAAAACCCCACAAGAGGACAACGTATCCAAAAGGAACAGAACTGGCCGTTATGAATGGTGAAAACAAGTTGCACAGCACCCTGCACCCCTTACCAGTGCAAACTGCCACTTATCCTAAGGTACACAAGGAAGACAAAACCCCCAAACGCCCAAAGGGCGGCCAAAAAACCGAGCAGTGAAACAGCTCAGCAGAGGCAGGACCTCAAGGAACTTGAAGGTGGTCCCCAAGCTCCAAGGGCAGTACTTACAGGACACTTAGGGGAAGATAATCCTAGGCGCATGCAGCTCGAGTACTGTAGAATAAGTCCTGGCTGGTGCAACCCCTGGAGGACAGCACACGACCTTCGCCTATAGCATCAGCCTCAGAACTGAAGGGTGGATGGCCGGTGCAGCTGTCTGCACAGCTTCCCCCTCCCAGTGGAGGGGGGGGGGGCTGTGCAGACAATGACGACGTGTGACGTCATGCTTGTTTGCTTGTTGCTTTTTGGGGAGTTGTATCCACTTGTTCAGCTTTTTTTTGTAGCAATTTTCACCAGAATAGGGGTTGGTTTGGGGCGCTTACCTTTCTGGGTGCCTGACCCAGTCGATAGCAGACATAGAATGCTTCCAATCACACTAGGGTTTGTATAGTCCATTGCTCCCCATGCCTCTCTGAAAGGGCCAGGTTCTGGCTTGTGGTCCCCGGTAGGCCCTCGGAACTCCATACACATGACTGATGCCAAAGTCTGACATTAGTATATCAGCTTGGATAGCTCTGGGGAGAAGACGGGGCTCCCCCCAGAAAAAATGTCTAAAAGGTTTGTTCAGTGGATGTCAGGTAGTCTGCTCCATTTTCTATAAAAAATGAAAAAAAAAAAAAATAAATAAAAAAATTGGATAAAAGAAAAACAATCACTGCCTGATGTTATAATGAAAGGGGGGGGGACTCCTTTCAAACACTAACACCTCCCCTTCTCACAGTCTTCCATATGCCAACAAGTTTAAACAACAAGTTTAAACTACGTGGAATTTGCAATAGATCCACTGCTATTAAACATTGTTTTGTGCGCGATGGTAAAATAATAGCTAGGAAGACTGACTCTGGAAAAACTTATGTCATAACCACTGAAGCACACCTCACTTCCTTCCTGGATGACTGTGGGATATCAGCTGAATAACCAGAACATAATTTGTAGTCTCACATACAACCAAAGTGTACTTAAGCTCTGCCTTTCCTTTCCAAAGGTGTTTATTTTTATTTTTATTTTTTTATTTTTTTTGTTTGTTTGTCATCTTTGCCTGTTTTATACTCTTAATTATTTGTTCTTAGTTAATCCCCTTGTCACTAAACCAAGGGCTTTTTATTACCCTGTTAATTAACCATTACTAAGCTAATTATCTTCAAGATCATTTTTTTTTTATGATTATCATTTTTCTTATTATTTTTTATTTTACATTTATATTGTCAGTCTCTACTGATTTTTTGTTTTTTTTATTTTATGTAACTTCTGTGTCCTCACTGGCTAACTATTGGATCTTTATTTTACTTCTAAATTGTTACTATTTTATTGTATTTGCTTTTATTCTTGTGTTTTGCTTTATCATGTATCTTGTATCGTGATCCCTCTGCATCCTATGCACACTGATATTGATCCTGATCAAAATCTTCTCTCTCATATCTACACCAACCAGCACATTGATCATCATTATTGCAAGTATTT